AAAAAGTCAACATTATTTTGAGCCAAATAAAAAGAGTAAGATTCCAAAGTGCACCATTTACCAAATATTCAGAATGGAACCAATTCATGGCTAAGAAAATCAGCAAGTAACTACATTCATCGATGTTCAATCTCCCATTCAAAGTAGTCATACACTAAATGCACCTATTTGGCATTCATGTTTCATTTTAGTCCTAAAGTTGAAAACATATTCTAAAGCAAGCAAAATTTATATCACACGTAAAAGCTAAAAATGCATAATAAACTAAAGCTAAAAATATATCCTAGAATTGACTTTTATATATCCCATGAGGTCACCTCTCATATGTCAATGCTAGATGGTTGAGGACGAAGTTGGGGAGGAAGAGGTCACTAACTGGCTGTTGATCTGGTCATAATCTTCAATAAACAGAGATAAGTAAATAATTGTCATGCCAATACATTCATGAAAGGGACAATAAATTACAATAAGAGTGATATCTAGTAAGTAAAATGCAAAAGCAACATAAAACGATTTTTTTACCCAAAAGAACATAATACAAATTGTGGGCATCAAGTGGTGGGCACCAGTAACATATAGAAAGTATCCACCATTCTCTCATAAATTATCACCAAGATTTTATGATTTTCATTTGGATATTTATTACATGCACCTTGAAGTATCAATTTTAATGGTATGCAAACCAATTCAAGTCGGAGCACCTTGAAGTATTACTTTAAAAAATTGGAACATTCTTATCATGCCACTCTCAACCATGCACTATTTTACCTGATCAAGGCGAAGCCGATCTACTCAATAAAACATTTAGTGCATGCAATCTCAATCGTACAAATTTGTTACATCCACCAATGTGAAGAAATAGTAGCCTACAACAATAGAAACCCATATTTTAACAACCAAATTCACAAAAACATAACATAGAGAAAAAATTAAAGGAGGGGCTATCAGAATTGTGGTACTTGAAGTAACCTTCAGGGTCATCATCTTCCATGACCATATTGCCCACACTTGGATCTCTTATAGATCTCCATAAGAAAAGCTGCTTTAGATCAAACAAGGATTAATTAAACATAACATTTGGTAGCCTAATCAATTTCACTAATACCCTAGACCCAATTTCAAAATACCATACAACAAACCAACATACCTATCCCATGGTTAGAGCTCGAATCTAGAGATCAATATTAGGGAAGTAGGGGTTTAGGTTTTGAAATCCTTTGTAATAAGTCTCACTGAAAGCCTTACGATAGAAAATTAGAAAGGCCAAAAAAATAAGGATGGTGTGTGTAAAATCAGGTGGGTGGGTATGACTGTGGGGAAGTTTCGACAATAACAGTGAGAGAGAGAAGATGCAGTGAGAGAGAGGGCAGCGGCTAAGAGTGTGTTTGTGTGGTGCACAGAAGTTAGGGGCATTTGGTTACCTCTTTGGCATTTGGTAGAACACCTCCCGGGCATTGTGTTGAAGACCTTTGATATAGAAGCAAAGAGAGACAAAGACAAAGACAGAGAGATAAGCAGTGTGTACCTATGTGAGATGATGCTTGTGGATGAGTAGCGGAGAGAAAGAATTAGCAAGGGAGAGAGGGCTAAGAACATTAACGAATGCTCACATAAACACACAAACACGAACACACAGACACACAAAAATTGAGAACACACGCACAATAGGAGAGAGAAAGAGAGAGAGGAAAGTGGTAGCGATTGAGAGAGATAAGACAAACATGTGTTGGTATGTTTCAAGCATTCACTAGTGGGTGAGCGGTGTTGGTTTGTGTTAACAATGTGTGTGTGTGTGTGGGAGAGAGAGAGAGAGAGAGAAGAAAGACGTGTGTTGATGGCTTCTAATAAAATCCAAATCGGTGCTGGTTTGTGTTAACAGTGAGTGTGTGTGTGTGAGAGAGAGAGAAAGAGAGATAGAGAGGGGGCGTACCTGAGCAATGTAGCAAGAGAGAGGGAACAATAGAGTATTGGGGAAGATATCAATTGCGTTGGAAGAGAAAGGAGAAATGGGTAAAGATCGTCTGATAAGAATCAAAGATCATAGAGAGATTATGATAAGGAAAGAAGATAAAAAATCCTCGGATTTGAAGAGAAAGAGAGAGGTAGCTTCATTTAAATATTGTTGGGCAAGAAAACAAAATTCAGTACTCACTGTAGACCGTTAAATCAAAATTTTCGAGATGATCTGAACCGTCTTTTATGTTGGGATTATGATATTTGTTGGATATGTTTATGTTTTGTCTCAAAATGATCTGGATCTCTCTTTGTCTTCAAAATTCAAACTCACCTCTATTTTATTATATAGATATTCACAACCTAGATGGAATTGGACACGCTATCAGTATGATTGTAGTGTAATATTATGACATAGTCTTTCTTGACTGTAGACGACTGTTTAATGTCTAAAATTATTGCACTAGTACATTTTGTATATTGAACAGACCAATGTTGAGATTATTATCTTTTTACTGAAATAATAAGATAACAAATGTCTCATGATTATTATGATTGTTTATGCTCTTAATCCTAAAATACTTAATTACCACGTGCATATAATATTTGTCACTTTAATTCATTAAATGGTGAGATTCATATTGAGTTAATAAACTCGGTAAATTGGAAGACGAAATGTTATTTGTACGTCCTAGTATTTAAATAGGTTGATGATGTCCACTTGATGAAACTCATAAGTTTTGTTTATGTCAAACCCTGGAGGTGGATCCAATTATCTGACATGACAAATAAGTTGAGTGGTAAGATCTCAAGGAATAAAAGAAATTAATTAAATATGATTACCAATATTTTATTTAATTAATGAACATCTGTAGTCTTAAACGTAGGGAGATTATTAAACACATAATAATAAGGAGTTCGAATATAATTTTAAGATAAGACTCAAGAGATCAATAATAAGTCTTTAGTAACTACTTATTATAATATTTGTATGATGTTTGTTATGGGTTGAACATAGGAATCATAATCCCATTGGAAGCCCGATCTTATTTTTCCTTAGAGTTTCTGTTGTAACCTATATATAGACATCTAGGCTTTTTTTCAGCTTTTATTCTTTACTGACGTTTTTGAGAGAAGCTGAAAGAGAGAGAAATTATTTGGAGGTCTCATCCGAATTCTGACGTTTGGAATACACGACAGAAGGCCGCGAGATTCGTCAAACTGTCTTTCAGTTGTTCGTTGTTCGGTTCTGCGTTTGTGCTGAGATGAAATCAATCCCGAGGGATCTCGAAGATAAATCCTAATTCCGCTTTGTAGGGTTTTAAAGAAAATTTTTTGATATTTGATACATACATGCTGTCAACGGCTCTTGGAATTTCCGTTCTAACAGTATTTAGTTTAAATCTCAACAATCTCTTAAGACCACCTGCATGAGAGATTTATCTCTTATAAATACCTTAATCTCGGCGTGGATAATTTGTCTTTGATTAGACCGGGAAGAAATTAGTCTTTATGCATTCAAACTAGTTTAGACACTCTTTATCGTTGAACAAAAAAAAATAATACAATAAAATATTAGAGCAATACTACTTGAATCTAATTTGCTGAGTTAAACACACTTTAGATAGATAGTGGATCACATTATTTATTAAAACTTTACTATCAATTCAATGATTGTAATGCTTTAGATCAATAAATAAAATCACAAAGTAGATGCAAATAATAAATACAAAAAATATAAGTCATCTAAATGGAGTGCCGCTTAGCACATAGGGTTTTGTTCAATTGACTTGGGCTACACGGGTTTAAATATTAACAACGACAAAAATGGTCTTTTCGTTCACATGCAAAACCTACATAAATCTATCATTTTTCAAACCTCACAATAACAAGGGTCGGTCTCGTACATGGTATCCATTTTTTCATGCGAGATAGATTAGAAAATGTAAAGGTCATTAAGGAGCCAAGTATTTGACCATAGATCAAATCAACATGGTCCCAACTATAAAAACAGGGAGTTAGAGTTAGAACTCTACCAATAAGTGTAGGTTCTCACACAATGGTTTTCCATCCATAATTACATTCACATGTGAAAATGTCATAAACGCGTTTCGTACCCCCCTTATTTCCTCGATCTCAAGTCAACACCCATTAAAACAGCTCATCATATATATATATGTGTGTGTGTGTGTGTGTGAATTCTGGAATTTATATGAATTATATTTTCTAATGTTACACTTGTAGTTTCTAAATAATAACTTATTTCGATAAGGGTAATTACTAAAAAGAGATCAAATGACGTGACATTAATATATTGAGTAAATTTATAAGTTTTAAGTAAAATAAGATTAAAACCGTTGTCAATATTGCATCATCTAATGCTTTTTTTTTTTGAAAAAATATTCATTACAACGGTTATACCATGTCATTATATTGACATAATGTAAACATCCAATAATAAGTAGGCACATGAATTTCACACATGGTGGGTGGTTATTGTATAACATGGATGGATAGTTATTTAATTATGTGGAATTTATTTACCCAATTGTCATCATATCATTAGACGGTTACACCATCTCAGTGTGACAACATTATATAACGGATAAAATTTTTTCTTTGTTTTTGGGTCTCACTATTGATTAATCTAGCATTACTCTTTCCATAAGTATTAAATATGAACTTATAAAATTCTTTGTCGTCCCTATCAATAATACCGTCTCACACAATCGTTTGTTTCCCGTCTATATAAACCAACCAATTGGAAGTATTTTCTCCACCGCTCAAGTCTTCAAAAAGCTCTTTGTCATCACCTTTCAACAATGGGGCTAATTCAATTCTTTCTAGCCCTTCTCTCTCTCTCCCTCTTCGTTTCTCCGGCCATTTGCAGATACCCACCGGCCGAGGACATAAAATCATGGTGCGGCAAAACCCCCCACCCTCAACCCTGTGAGTACTTCTTGGCTCATGACTCTAAATACGGCCGTCCGATCAAACAAAAATCTGATTTTTTCAAGCTCTCATTGCAACTAGCCCTAGACAGGGCCATGCATGCCCAAACCAACTCTTATAGCCTCGGCTCAAAGTGCCGGGATGAGAGAGAAAAGGCTGCATGGGCTGATTGTCTTGAGCTCTACGATTACACAATTCAGAAACTCAACAAAACTATTGATCCAAACACTAAATGCAGCCAAGTTGATGCTCAGACATGGCTCAGCACAGCCCTGACCAACCTCGAAACCTGCAAAACCGGGTTCATGGAGCTTGGGGTTACAGACTATGTCATGCCCTTAATGTCAAACAATGTCTCTTCCTTGATCAGCAACACTTTGGCCATGAACAAAGACCCATATGGCGAGCCCAGTGGCCCGAGTTACAAAGAAGGGTTCCCGAGTTGGGTCTCTTCCGGTGACCGGAAACTCTTACAATCAGCATCACCGGTTCCTACGGCCAACATTGTGGTGGCACAAGACGGGTCCGGGAACTATAAGACGATAAATGAGGCCATCACCGCCGCATCGAAGCGGTCGGGAAGTGGGGGGTATGTGATTTATGTGAAAGCAGGGACTTACCAGGAGAGTGTTAATATAGGAAACAAGTTGAAGAATATTATGTTATTGGGTGATGGTATTGGGAAGACTATTATTACAGGAAGCAAGAGTGTTGGAGGAGGCACTACCCTCTTCAAATCTGCCACTGTTGGTAAGCGAAACAAAAATGCTCTCAGTTTTTTGCTCATTATTTTGAAATTTAGTTGATCAGGTAAGGTAAGTTAGGTCTAAGTTGATTTGGATATTCTTGAACAAAAAAAAAATAAAATTTTAGGGGTTTGATTCACTAAAAATTCTAATCATTTGTCAATTTTGTGTGTAAGTTGATTCGGACATTCCTAATTATTGAACCAAAAAAGGAAAAGAAATCTAAGGGGTTTGAATTGTTTGATTCACTAAAAATTCTAATTATTTGTCAATTTTGGCAAAGGAAGTCATGGATATTAGGTGAATATAGAAATGGAAAATATAGAATAATAAATTAGGGTTAATTACGATTTATCCCATTTAAATTTGGGTCATGTTGCAATCGATCTCTTCTAGTTTTAATTTTAATAATTTATCCCTTTCAAGTTTTAAATGAACTAAATTATATGATTAGTCAAAGAAAGTTTGTAAAATAATTTTTGTACCCTTGAGACTTTATTGACACCCAATCAATTTTCTTTTTCTTTCTCTTTCCTTTGCTCAACTCGACGATCAGCTCCATCAACCACCACCACCGTCCCCAACATAGCCTTCACCAGGCAATCAACACCACCACCGCTGCCCCCCAACACAGCCTTCACCAAGCAACTACCACTACTACCAACAGCTACCAAATCAAACAACACCCACCTGATACCAACCAACCAAAAAGAAAAGAGAAAACCAAGAAAGAAGAAGTCCATTGCAAATGTCATCTACTACCTTTATCCACCATGGTTGCTGTAAAATTCCCAAGACCCATAGCAAATGAGAGAAATCTTTGGAGAGAGAGAATTCATTGACACCGAAATGAGTTTGGTTCGATTCACGCCTTTCGTTCGATGTTCTTCCTCTATTGACGCCGAATGGGTTTTGTGTTGGTAGCAGGCATTTCGATCGGATAGATGGACGAGGATAACCACCAAGGGAGAGGGTGGTGCTTGATGGGTATCACCTCCCTTATATTGGTGGAAAGTTGAAGAGAGAATCCATGAACAATCCTTCACATATCTCTCCCTCTCTGGCGATGGAGATTTGACTGTTGTTTGAAGGGAAGGGGATTGGTTTTATTTTTTCCTATTTTTTAGATTTTTTTGGAAGTGACAAAAAATGTGATCTAAAGATGGAGAATTTTGTATTTTCAACAAACTTTTAGATCATTTTATTTTAACTTTGAGCTAATTATTCCTCAAATCCTAAAGATATAAGTTAATTGCAAAAATTTAGAAGTGTGAGGGGGTAATGAAATTGAAGTCGATTGTAACATGACCCAAACTTGAAAGGACAAACTATAACTAACCCAATAAATTAATCAACCAAGAAAGAGACATTCTATCAACTAGTATATATGGAAGAGTATTCGAGTCATACAGTATTATTTTTGTGTCTGTGTCATATTTTGAACATGTAAGGATAATTGAGGTGCTTCGTGATTAGTGATAAGTGGTAAACTTTACACCCCTTGACATATGCAAGCTCAGAAAAGTCAAAGGAGATGAAAAATCCATGTCTCTGGCACTAGCCGGTTGGAAGAGCTGAGTTCACTGACTTATGAGTTGTAAGATAGGAAAAATACAGTCGACTTCCTCTGGTCAAAATAGATGATTAATATGACAATTTTATTATAATACAAAAGGAGAGAAGATTAAGTACTATGAAGGACAAGTCTGTCACAGATGGAACCAATTTTGTATCTAGAAGAGGTACCTTGGTGGTCCTTGGCTTTGAGTGGGACCAATACATTTGAGTCTAGGTTGTTTTATTACATTTTTACTCAATTCAATTCGGACTGAATAGACTGAGTTGATTGCTTCATATAATATTATCTAAATTAATTAATAATCCCTTGGTACAATTAGAGTAGGCCCCACTTATCAAAAGTACATCTCCACCTTGATGTGTATGTTTATTACTTAAGGTAAACAACAAAGATTAGTTAAATTAAATAATATCATAAGACTTGTAACTCTTAATTAATTCAGCTGCTGTTGGAGATGGATTTATGGCTCGGGGCATCACATTCAGGAACACCGCCGGACCTCAAAGCCACCAAGCAGTTGCATTTCGATCTGGGTCAGATCTCTCAGTGTTCTACCAATGTAGCTTTGAAGGGTACCAAGACACCCTCTATGTCCACTCCCAAAGACAATTCTACAGAGATTGTGACATCTATGGTACTGTTGATTTTATTTTCGGAAACGCTGCAGTCGTGTTCCAAACTGTAACATATATGCAAGAAAACTCCTAATAAGACCAACATGTTAACTGCTCAAGGCAGAACTGATCCGAATCAAAACACTGGAATCTCTATACATAACTGTAAGGTTATGGCAACTTCTGATTTAAAATCAGTTCAGGGTTCAGTTAAGACGTATCTTGGCCGACCATGGCAGAAATATTCACGTACAGTCTTTCTTGGGACGTTTCCTCGATAGCTTGATCGATCCGGCCGGTTGGCTGCCATGGAGTGGTAACTTTGTCTCTTAGTACTTTGTATTATGGG